TGTATTGGTCTTTGATTAAATTAAGTGGTATTTTAAACAAAGACATTTTTATAAATAGCTAAATAATAATATTTTTTTAGGATAATTTATTGTAGTATGCATATATTGAATATCTACTGTACCAAGAGTACTTAAAGTAAACACACTGTAAGACTTTGTTGCAATGTTTACATAAGCAAAGTCCCAGTCAAAAACCTAAGTGGCCGAAACATGAGTCGATCGGTGCTCTCACAGAAAGTGCAAGTGTCAGCCAGCATTCTGTTGCACGCGCAGACCGCCTAACCGAACTCAAGTACATGCATATACCCTCGCGCTCCAGCTTAAGAGAGCGTAATTAAATACATATAATATATAAGATACACATAGCCGTCTCTCTGCTGTCCAACTGTGGGCAGCGCAGCTACGAGATTTAGGCTTACTTAGAACATAAGGGGAAAAAAATATATGAACAAAAACAACTGAACGTTGGTAGCGGCACCTTTGCTGCTCCGAGTACAATAAAAATATTATTCAAATAAATATAGAGGACATTTTACTACATTATTTTATCAACGGTCACAGTCATATAATGTAACTGTTGTTATTGTAAATTTAGACATATATCCTTAGTTATATGCATATAATACTAAATTTATTAATATTATTATTATTATCAATATAAACACAAATACACCAACAAAAGTACACTACATTGTACGAAACATCTTTTTTGACCCTAAATAGTTATTATGCCATTTGAACTAAAAACCTGCGGGCGTGATAGACCAATTGGTAAGGTGATGCGAAAAGTCACCGGTTCAAGTACGCGCCTGTGCAGATAACGTTGAAGGATTTTTAAGAATAATATCTAACATTTCCTTATCAATTGAAATCGCAAAGTTGTAATCAAAACCTTTTCAAATTTAAACTTAAAAAATAAATCAATTTGTCACGAGAGAGGCTCAAACCACTAACCCTCAAACAATGCGCTAGCACTCTGAGCCATCCCGAAATTTTTATCCTGCGGCAGAATGCTTTTTTGTGACAAAAAGCTTTTTTGTAAAAAAATGTTTTTGAAGTGGAAAAATTATCTTATATTAGGGTGAATTTGATGACTTTCGTATAAGAGATTTTTTGCTACTCAATAGGGTCACACTGTCACCTAAATATGGGCATATTGATGACGATTTTTTTTGGGTGTAGGTTGCCCTGGTTGCCGTTAGCGTTTTCTTACGTGCTTGGGGATTAAATCCATGTGTAGACTTTTATTTCTTATTATTTTATTAATTATACCCGTTACTCGTAGAGTAAAAGGGTATACTAGATTCGTCGAAAAGTATGTAACAGGCAGAAGGAAGCGTTTCCGACCCCATAAAGTATATATATTCTTGATCAGGATCACTAGCCGAGTCAATCTAGCCATGTCCGTCTGTCCGTCTGTCTGTCCGGATGAACGCTGAGATCTCGGAAACTATGGGAGCTAGGCTATTGAGATTTGGCGTGTAGATTCCTGAGCTTCTTACGCAGCGCAAGTTTGTTTCAGTAGAGTGCCACGCCCACTCTAACGCCCACAAACCGCCCAAAACTGTGGCTCCTACAGTTTTGATGCTAGAAGAAATAAATTTTAACTGAAATGTAATGTTCTCATCAATACCTATCGATTGACCCAAAAAAAAAATTGCCACGCCCACCCTAACGCCCATAAACCGCCCACAAAAAATCGTTAATATGAACGTGGATATCTCGGAAACTATCAAAGATAGAGAATTGGGATTTCAGATTTAGATTCCGTAGCCTTATACGCAGCACAAGTTTGTTACGCGAATATGCCACGCCCACTCTAACGCCCACAAACCGCGAAAACCTGTGACGCCCACAATTTTTATGCTAGATAAAAAATTTTAGCTGAAATGTATTGGTCTCGACAAAACCTATTGACTGGTCCAAAAAATTTGCCACGCCCACTCTAACGCCCATAACGCTTAAATCTGTATACCGCCGGTAAGTGGCGCATTTTAATCTCGCTTTGCTACTTGCATATCTCTATTTAGCTGAGTAACGGGTATCTGATAGTCGAGGTATTCGACTATAGCGTTCTTCCTTGTTTTTTTTGTTTTTTTCCATTCTTGTACTAGATACTGGTAGAGTAACAGGGCACACTAGACTAGTCAAAAAGTAGTAGTCAAAGAAAGCGTTTCCAATCCCGCAAAGTATGTACATATGTATATTCTTCAGTCAGGAGTCGAACCGAGTCGATTTAGCCACCGTGTATCTGTCTGTCCGTACGAACCCAGAGATCTCGGAAAGTATAAAAGCTACAAAAATGGGATTAGGCATGTTGTTTCTACAGATCCCTTCGCAAACTAAGTTTTTTCAGCAACGTGTAACGCCCACTAACGATCGCAACGCTAAAATATGTATATGTTTATATGTTTTTTAAACGTTGTTAGAATAATCGAAAAAAAACGTCTAAAACAAGTGAGAATTGCAAATATATACATATGTATTCTTCATTGAAATTATTCATTTGATTTTTATTTTTTATGAATGGTTTTTATCGACATTTCTCAACACGAAAAAAAAGTTTTACATCAATATGCCCCTATTTAGGTGAGTACTGAGTACCAAAAAATCTCTTATACGAAAGTCATAAAATTCACCCTAATATAAGAACATTTTTCCACTTCAAAAACATTTTTTTTTTCAAAAGTTGAAAAGCAGAAAGTTGCTGACATCTATTAAGCATATTCCTGTAAAATTTATATGGTAAGTTTCTGGCGCAGGATAAAACTACAGTTCTTGGCAGGAACCAATATCGTTTAACTTTTAAAAGTTGTAGGGAAAGGTGGCGAACTGATAAAACTCTATGAAATTGTAAAAATCATTTATTTTTATTCCCGTTACTCCTAGAATAAAAGGGTGTACAAGATTTGCTGGAAATTATGTAACAGGTAGAAGGAAGCGTTTCTGACCCCATAAATAATATATATTCTTGATCAGGATTACTAGCCCAGTCGATCTTGCCATGTCCGTCTGTCCGTATGAACTATAGAAGATGCAATACTGAAATTTGGCATGCAGACTCCAAAGATTTCTGCGCAGCGGAAGTTTTTTTCTTCAGATTGCCTCGCTTACTCTAACGCCCACAAACCGCCCAAAACTGTGGCTCCTACAGCTTTAGTGTTAAAAATTTGTAACTCAAATGTATTGTTCTCATCAATACTTATCGATTGACCCAAAAAAGGTTTCAACGCCCACTTTATCGCCATCAACCCGCCCACAAACTTCAAAAAATCGTAAGCAAGTTTGTTACGCGAACATGCCACGCCCACTCTAACGCCCACAAGCCTCCTAAAACATTCTAGAAAAAAAATGAAATGTAATTGTCTAACGCCCATAACGCATAAATCTTTCTGCCGCCTACATAACGAAGTATTGAGATCGCGGGTATAAATCAAAAGTTCTGATATGAAGTTTTATGACGAAAATGTGTTATACGATCTACTAAATAAATACACTTTCTAAATTTTGTATACGAAAAAAAGTTCAATTCTCAGGCAGTGTTAGATGTTCGAAACTGGTAAATAAAACTAGTTTTGTTGGTTAAAAATTTTAAAAAGGTATAAGAACCTGCGATCTCTTAGGCTGCATTACTCGGTAGAAAGGGATGACAATATAACGCGTACAGTTAACTTAAACTAGGTTTCCCGCTTATTGTATCGCACAGTGGGTGTCGTATCAATATATTACAACATATGTCGTACAGTGGGCCATGTCAGTATATGTCCTACTTCATAAACTTCTGCACATAATTTTTAAACGGTGGTACTTAGACAAATTATGTTAGAAAGGCGCACAAAGCATTTCAAAATACGTTTCTAACGACGTATAGCACTACAACTGTAGCTATTAGCTATTTATAGCTGTTTTATCGCCAAACTGGCTAGTTTTCAAAAGTGGTAGAACTAATGTTTCTTACATTGAGATGTTTAAGATCGTCTAGAGTTTTCAGGACCCAAAAAAAAATGTTTTGGGACAAACTAAAAAGCGGAAGAACTGACAAACAAGATAACATTTTTAATCCACAGTGATACGTGGAATGCCGTCTACAGTGATAATGAAATACAAATTTAACTGTACACCCTAAAAAAATGTATGCGTCACTTCTGGGCTTGAATTGAATAAATAAAGTTGTTTAATTTATAGTTCACAGAAATCAACAACAAATAATTGTTTAAGTTATCGGCTGTAGAAAAGAAAAAAATTAAGTCTTTTTACCCAACAGAATTTTTTCCACAAATCTTTGCTCTGGCACTGCTGAAACACTTATAAATTGAAGGTGTTTTTTAATTTTTGCTTCACCCTTTAGTCAGGACTCACAAAATTAAAAATTAATCACTTACCTTACACTCCCCTAATAATAATACAATTACGCAAACAATTTAAATTCGGTTTATGCAATTATGAACATTAACCATCAACAACATTTATAAAAATCTCTTTTGAATATAAAGCTTTAGTGAAGTATTTTTAAAGAATAAATTTTTGTGTTTGCGGGATCTAAATGCGTCAGACGAATAGTTGGCGGAAAGTTTGCGCTAACATTTTTCGGAAGTTAACAGAGTTAACATACAGGTACATTGCTGTTGGTTTGTATCGATAATTGAATCAATACGTTATCGCTTATTGCTCTGCCCTTCATGGGCAGTTGTTAGATTGTTCAGCTGAACGCACCCTTGAAATAATAGCACCCCCATAAATGGGGATCAACATATGTACATGTAGGATTTCAGCATTTCGTTTGCAATTTTATCGAAATCATTCAGCTCTTTCATAAACATGACATCGATTTTTTTAAGCAAGTCTAATAGACATATGTACAAAAATTTCGGTCAAAGCTAATAATTTTATTTTGTAGCGGTATAAATTCTGCATATATATAGCTTAAAGCCGCCGAAAGCTTCTATTAGCAGATGCATAAATATGTGAAAACGGGAATATCTTTTCTTTCGCTTACTTACTTTTTGAGCCTACAAAGCTGGGGTACAATTGACGGTTAAAATAATACGCGTAAAACAAAAAAAACAGTGCTGACCGGTAGGACGGATGTTGAGAGACAGAATGTTGGGAGTTTTATACCTAATATTTTCACGTTTTCTTATCTGTGCGAAAAGAACACAACACACAACTCTAACCAAAAGTCAAAGAGAGAGAGAGTCACACTCACAACACGTATAAGAAGCGACTACAGACACAACGGTTAATTAAGAACGCGAGATCGCGGAAAGTAAACATGATGTGCCAACGCTCAGAGGTGTACTGACCCCAGCAAAGCAGAGCTGTAAACGTGTCTTAGACGAGAGAAACAAGATTGAGGCGGAGAAATGGATTTCTCCTATGAGAGAGCGACAGAGAGGGATCTGAGTAAATCTAAGAGCAAACCAAAAAAAACTGGTTAGATAACTTACAGACTCGTCTCAAAACATCGGGGACTTTAAATAATAACTTCATGTGGAGAGAAGCTTATTGCGGTACCGTTTTCCAACTTTTTCCGTCGCGTCTAAAAGAAATCTTCCAGCGACGTCATATGGGGCCGTCCATAAACCACGTGGACAGTTTTGTGGGGAGGGGGGGTTCGTCAAAAGTCCACGGTTTTCAACGGGGGGGGGGGGGGGGGGGGGGGGGGGCCTATACCTTTTCTCTTTCTCAAAAATCGATCCATTTAAACCAATTAGAATAATTTAAAATTTAGCCGGCTATACATTTACTTTAGGGGCCGTCCATAAACCACGTGGACCAATTTTAAGCACTTTTTTACCCCCCCTCCCCCCTCGTGGACAATCGTGGATTTTTAACTAACCCGCCCCCCCCTTCCCATTTTGTCTACGTGGACTTTTTCATTGAAAATTTTTTTTTCTTATTAAAAATGATATCTTAGAGATTTTTAAAAATGGTAAATAATTAGAAGTTTAATAGTAAATTTAAAAGTGGAATAAATAACATAAAGGTTAAAATTAAATTTTTACTATGTCCACGTGGACATTTATCTCAAACCCCCCCCTCGTGGAAAATCGTGGACTTTTGACGAACCCCCCCTCCCCCCAAAACTGTCCACGTGGTTTATGGACGGCCCGTTATGCTGTGTACAATTATTTTTTAAAACAATTTTCAATGGTAAGTTTTTATGCTTGCTTTTTAAAATTAAATAATAAGCAAATGAGAGACACATACAGTTACTTAGCTTACAAACTTAACAAAGAAGAACGCTATAGTCGAGTACCTCGACTATCAGATACCCGTTACTCAGCTAAAGGACGAAAGGGAAATGGAGATATGCAAGCAGCAAAGCGAGATTGAAATGCGCCACCTACCGGCGGTAGGCAGATTTAAGCGTTATGGGCGTGAGAGTGGGCAAATTTTTTTGGATCAATCGATAGGTATTGTCGAGACCAATACATTTCATTTAAAACGTTGTATCTAACATAAGAATTGTGGGCGCCACAGGCTTGGGCGGCTTGTGGGCGTTAGAGTGGGCGTGGCATATTCGCGTAACAGACTTGCGCTGCGTACAAGGCTACGGAATCTAAATCTGACATCCCAATTCTCTATCTTTAATAGTTTCCGAGATATCATTTCATATTATTCATATGTACGATTTTTTGAAGTTTGTGGTCGTTAAAGTGGGTGTGGCAAACTTTTTTTTTGATCAATCGATGGGTATTGATTTGAACAATACGATTCAGTTAAAATTTTTATTCTAGCATTAAAACTGTGTAAGCCACAGTTTTGGGCGGGTTGTGGGCGTTAGAGTGGGCGTGGCGCGCTGCTGAAACAAACTTGCGCAGCGCAAGAATCTGCACGCCAAATCTCAATAGCCCAGCTATAGTTTCCGAGATCTCAGCGTTCATCCGGACGGACAGACAGACGGACATGGCTAATCCTGATCAAGAATATATATGGGGTCGGAAACGCATCGAAAATGAGAGGATATAGCAATATGGCGACATTAATCACGTGAGTGGAAGCGAAAAAGATATATTCGAAATTCGAATTGGCCTACTTCGATCATGTTGTCTCGCTTGCACTTACATACGTTTTAGTGGATTTTTTGATACTTGAGTTTTATCGTGTAGCCGGTCAGACGTACATTGTTCAGTTTCCTTAAGTGCGCAGAACAAGGAAAAGGTGAGTAACTTCATATATAATGTGTATATGTATAAAGTTTTAAAATACCATAGTAACATAATAAGTGGAAAAAACTAAAATCGTGTGCGATTTTCTTATTGGCTTTTTTATATAACTGCCCTACGACAACAAAAGCACGTGCAACTATGTATGTACATACATACGTATGCGTAAGCATGTCAGCGTGAAAACAAAATTAATAAGTATGTTATCTTACAATAAACATAATGGCATTTAAACATAAACATATTTTAAAATGCGCTTAAATTTATGTTTAGATCAGTGGTCGGCAGCGGCCTATCTAGTGAGCATAGGGAAGTGTTCTGCCCATCCTCTGCTCGCTCACGTATAACGTACATGTTCGTGTGACTTCGGCATGGGTCTTCGGGTCATTTTTTCTCAACTTCGGCGCGCTTTTTTGTTGCTGCGGCAGAGGATCTCAGTGCAAAGCAGAGAAACGTCTCGCTACAGCACGCCGCGCGCAAACTTCGTGTTTGTTACATTCACACTAATGCAAGGCAAACTTTTGATGGTATGTGTGTGCCGACCACTGGTTTAGATGTATGAACATGCTTATTAATTATTTTTTCTACGCCGCCCTGTAAAGTCGCTTGTCATGTACCTACCCTTCAGTTCCAAAAAAAAAGTTTCACTTGTGAATCACCTTGTAAATCCCGTGGGACATGTCCTCTTGCACAAGTGAAGAACAAGTGACTCTCCATATAGAAAATTGTATGGGATGTCCGCATTTTCACAAGTGAAAATTCAAATGAAAATTTTTCGAAGTCCCACGGGATTCCACTTGTTCCTTATACTCATTTTTCGTATGGCCTGTCACAGTGAAATCACTTGTGAAAATTCGATTTTTTCCATGAGTTTTCACTTATGAAATCACTTGCAAGTGACACGTCCCAAGTGAAATCACTTGTGACAATCAGAATTTTTCCCATGAGCTTTTACTTATAGAATTTAAAATACATAAATTTGTATTTACTTATTATTATCCCCTAAATTTGTCACGATGTACATCTAATTTTTATCTGCACGAGCCCTTTCGCGTTCTATGTAATAATTATAACAACCTTTATCATTTAATTTGCACTTCAACTTCTATCCCGGTATTAAAACCTAATATTTTAACTCATTTGCTTCATTCTTAGATGCTTCTTTTATTTTCATTTGTGTCCCGTCTCTATTGGTTTTTTGTATTTTCCTCGCGAACTCGTATTTTTTGCCCAAATTGATAAAAGGGCCCCGCGCGTAACAAGCACGTGCTTGGTGTCGTTGGGCCACTTGCTTGTACTGCTCGTAGTGCATCAACGTCCATCATATATGAAAAAAAATATATTTTAATTAAATAATGTTATTTACGTTTTCTGTTAAAGGACAATTATTGTTAGTAAGCCTAGTTTTATGTTACGTTAATTTGCTTCTTACATTGGTCATTGCCTTCCTTAAACCTTTGTCCGGTTCCTCCGAATCCTTGGCCAACGCTCCTGAAAAAATTCATGGGCATATGTTAAAAAATCCGTTTTATTTGTTTATTTGCTTATTTACCATTTAGAGCTGTGTTTCACCCTTTGCAGGATTTTTACTGGCGCAAAACATTTCATCATCCACTTTCGGCTTACGGAACCCATTGAATACCTTAATACTATAAACTAAGATCAATGCACAACATCTTCAACTTAATGAAACACTTACCTGAATTGATTATTTTCACTTTAAAGAACGAAAGAAGTAAATCTGCTGCGCACAATTTAAATGGCTTGCTTTCCTTTCAATAACTCAAACAGAATGAACCAAGTATTCCTCTCACCCCTTTACATGATTTCTTTTAATTTCTTTTCGCTGTTGACGCGTGCCACTGCACCTATACCCTTTTTAAAGTGAAAAATATCAGACTACATAATTTTTACTATTTGAGTTAAAAATACAAAATGAATTCTTTAAAAATGGTACTATTAAAATATTTTAAATATTTAAATAAATTTTAACGAACTAAATTTCTATAACTTAACTAAAAAATTATATTGTAATAGTAATGTATAATACGTAAGCATAACATTAAAAGTAAATTCAATTTACTTAATTTTACTATAATCAAATAATTTACTTTTATAAAACAATATTAATTGTTTTCTTTCGATAAACAATAATTTTCCTAAAATATTAGGGCATTTACGTGTCGCTGCGCCACGAAAATTTTTCCACCGGAACACTAGTCGCTAGCCGAACATAACGGAGAGATTCAAAAAAAAAACGGACCTGCTTAAATTTGTCTCTGAGAGCGCCGAGTGCAGGCAGATAGTAAGACAAAGAGAGGGAAGCAATCTGCCTCTCTTTGTTGCACGATCGTTTTCGTTGGCAGTCTTCTACGCTACGCCGACTTCTCTGCTGACGTCAACAGCGGCATAGCGTTTTAGGCACAGAAAAAAAAAAAAAAACGCTGTTTGCCTTGAGCCATGTCACCGCGTCCCTACTGCAGAACTGAAGGGTACATACGTATGTATAGACAGATGCACGTGATTTTCATTGCTTTTCATAAAATGTTGGATATTCTTGAATTTCTTTCACAAATTATTTGTTATTAATCAATTAATTAGGGTTTCAAATTTTAGCGAGCACTTTCAAGCTTATGTGGTGGATGGCGAACTGGAATCTTTTAAGATTGTATAAAAACTATAATTATAAGTTAATCACAATTAAGAAATTTTAGTTAATAAGTATACATAAGTACGAAAAAAATACCTAATGTAAATATCTAAAATAACGTGTAAGTAAGAAGTACTGTAAATATTTTATACAAACTGTAAATAGGTAATAAAACGTATAATAAAAAAATTGGTATAATATATTTAATTTAAATTTATCTTTAAGATTATAATATCAAATTAACAATAAAATCTATTTGGCATTTTTAATATCCTACCTACTACAATGTACATTTGAAATTATTATATCAAATCTACAATCATACCAAATTTACAACAAATTTCAAAAAATTTATACCGCTTAATGTACCATTTCGAACATATCAAATTTATATTTGCCGAATCAAGGCCGAATTTGCCCCTTACTCTTAGAGTAAAAGGGTATACTAGATTCGTCGGAAAGTATG